TACCTGCCCTGCCTTGCCCTGAAATGAATAGCTTTGGGTGTTTGCTCGCCTCAGACGGCGTGGGGTGGGAAGAAACAACAGAGCTCTCCGCATTCAAGCTCCAGCAGCGAATCATTAAACTGCGACGCACTCGAAGCTACACTGTCGCTAGATACTTCGCTTATGCGCTACTCCACGACAAACCCTAAACCCTAAACCCCTAGACCCTAAACCGTCTCAAGCCTCAAGCCCACTTGGTTAGAGGATGTCGTCGAGAAGTCAAGAGGTTTCGGTACGGGATCGAACACCTAGGCTTTGGGGTTTAGGGATTGTGGGCTTTAGGGTTTAGGGATTTTAGGGTTTGGGGTCTAGGGCTTCCGTTTTATTGTTTACGGTTTTTTTGTTTAAGGTAGTTTAGGGTTTAGGGTTTAAGGTTTTGGGTTTTAGGGATTGAAAGCGCGGAACTTCGGTAGTTTCAGAAGCAAAGGGACCCTAAACAGAGCCTAAGCTGCAGGATGCTTCAATGTAGGGACTCCTCTGCTCTAAGAAGCCCGCATCTGCCGCTGCCTGAATTTTCGACCACGGAACCGGCCCCTGTGAGTCTTGGGCAGCGATGTTGCTCCCGAACTCAGCATACCCAGCGCTGGTGTTGTCGCGGGCATCGCAATAGTAGACCTGTGCGTAGGGGCTGCCAACTCTGGACGTTTTGGGTTCTAGCCAAAATGGGGTTCATGGGGCTTCATACAGCATCGCAGGCCAGGTTGTCAGCTTCTGTCTGCAATGAAACCAAATGCACTACCTCGACAGGTTATCGGAAGCGTCAGCCGAGAGCTTAAGGCTTTTGAGGTTTAGGGTTTGGGGTTTCAGGCTCTGAGGAGTTGATGCTTTTGGTGTTACCGGTTTCCAAGTTGTTCGACCAGGAGGCAAAAAAAACTTTCATCCGAAGTGCGATGGCATCGCCCACGATGTCCCAGCCAGTCTCACAGAAAGCGGTACAAATGTCGCCAAAAAGGTGGTTCCTCAGCTACTCTGGGGTATGACAGAACTGACCCCTACTTGCTCTTAGACCTTACATTCCCGAAGTTTCAAACCCTAAACCCTATAAACCCTAAACCGAAACCCTAAACCCCTAAACCCTAAACCCCTAAACCCTAAACCCTAAACCCCAATTTCAAGCAGCCCAGGCTCGAACAGGAGTCATCATACTGAGGCATGGAGAAGGGATGGATCTGCCCCAGTTGCTGACCTCTGGGTTTCGGGAGCTTCCGCTTTCCGAAGTCTGGGATTCAAGGCCTCTCCGGGACTTCTCGGTTTAGGGTTTTGGGGATTTAAGGTTTAGGGTTTAGGGTTAAGGGTTTAGGGTGTAGGGTTTAGGGTTTAGGGTTTAGGATTCTAGCTTGAACTGGGGGGGGCTTCGGGTGTTTGGGGGAGTTGTCGGAATGGCCCCCTAAACCCGAAACCCTAATCCCGAAGCCGCCGGACACAACTGTGGAGACGGCTCCAAGTTCGACTTTCTGGCTTCTTTTAAGGCTTCGGGGCTCCTGTGAGGGATTCCTGAGCCCAGAATCCCATGACTCCTCGACTGGAGCCGTCAATCTCGAAACTGAAACCCTGAGCAGCCAAAACCGAGCAATTCCCGGAGCCCCAGAACTCAAAGTCCAAAGTTCTTTGCCCGGCACACCCCTGACTGCAGGAAGCTGGGAATCCCTGCATTGCGTCGGCTCGCAGGCGAAGGAATGTGGCGAGAAGCTGCCATCGATCTCACAGAACATGGTAGCATTGCCTGGTTGGGGCTTGGGGTTTACTGGTTTACTGTTGCGTGGGCTTGGGTGTAGACATAGTCTTAGTCTCCCAGAACCCTAGGAGCCACGTGCCAACAAACAACAGCACGAATGCATGGGTGCAGAGTCTACAATTTTTGCCCTCTCCACAGTAGACCCGAAACCCAACAAAGATCCTGACTGCTCGGCTGCATGCCGCACGGCTCCGGAAACAAAAACGTCTGAATTCCAAGAAGCCCCCGGGATTCTCAATGGCACAAGAGACTCGAATGACTGAAGGGGCATCAAGAATTTGAGAAATAAACTCCGTTGTCCTCATGTGGGTGCGGGTGTTTCAGAAAGTAAGAGACCCAAATCCAAATGTCAGACCTCCAATAAACCCAACCTTCAGAAACTCCCACGAAATATGGTAAATATGTACCCGGAAAAATAAAAATAACAATCCACCCCCTGATTTCGGGCCCTTCGCCCCTGATGTCCAAACCCGAGACACCTAGACACGGCTGTCTCTTAAAACTGTTCTTGCCATTCCGGCTGCTGTGCTAGATCCGGCGGTAACCCTAAACCCCAAACTCTAAACCCTAGTTCAGTTCATTGCTCAGGTCGCAGGCCAAATCGGATTGGGGAGATTCGGTTTCAAGCGGTTTAAGGTTTCGGGTTTAGGGTCGGGGTTAAAGGTTTGGGGTTTGTGGTCTAGAGCCGAGGGTGGAGGGCTCAAGAGATTGCCAGGGATGGGGGTTGTAGGATAAAGTTCTCTGAAGCCCAAGTTCGGTAAGCGTAGGTCCAGGGTCTATAGGGCGCACTCTAAACCCCAAATAGTGTACCCTCAACCCTGAACCCTCACCGCCTAGACCTACACCCTAGACTTCACCCGAAGCCCTGAACCTGAACCCCTAAACCTAAACCCGACCTGTGGCCCAAGAAACTTACCTTCTTCAGGAACTATATACAGAAACCATGATAAGGAACCCTAGAAAAGGTAGGTGTTGTAGTCTTATCGGCTACAGTGGCTACAGGTAGGTTCTACCCTAAACCCTAAACCCTAAACCCTAAACCCTAAACCCAGGTCTAGGTTCTTCATGGCAAGGAGGCCGCATTTTGGCTCCCGGCCCGGCCTGAAGACCTGCATGAAAAAAGGCCCCGATGCAACCTAC